ATCCAGATTTTTTTTAAAGGAGAAATCTCTTAATTTTTAAGTGTTGATAAATAATCAAGATTTTAAATACCCAGAATGACCTAAACAAAAAAGGCCTTCAAACCACCCTTTGCAGCATGTGAGTAGGTTTTGTGTTTGAAATGCCTCGGTCTCTGATGGACCATTAGTGCACTACATAGCAGCCAGTGCTAGTTTTGCTGCATTAAATGTCTTAAGAGGAGATGGGAGGTCACAAAGGAATGAGTCTCCCTCTCCTAAATCCTGAGTGTCTGCCATCCAAGCAGCCCTAGGCAAGGCTGGCCAGCCTCATCTGTAAAGTGACCCAGCCACCTTGTGTGCTTTACACACGGCTCAGCACCTCTCTGGATGGCCAGGGCCCAGATGGCTGGGACACTGCTCCATAGCTTGGTTGTCCCCACAGGAGCACAGACATCACCCTGGTCCTGCTGTGGAGTTTTTCTCCCCCTGCCTGCTGGGGTCCAGGGGTAGAGGCTAAAAGAGATGAAGGATCTGCTCTTGCCATCTTGCCATCAGCCTCCCCTGTCAGTACAAATGTCAGTCCAGATCTCAGATGAGGTCCAGACACCATCATCTCTATTTCTGAACTTAAGCTACAGGGAGAATGGCTTGTTCTTTCTGTGTGTCCGTATCTCTGTGTGTGTCTCTCTCTCCTTTCCTCCCCAGCCCCTCTCCCTGCACACATTCATTTTAGGAACAAATTCCACAGCCCACCTCACTTGTAACTGCCTCTCCCCACAAGGGCTGACCGATGGCACCACTTGGTAGATGGCATCGGGTGCCTTCAATATGGAGAGTAAGCTAGTAAGCCCCTTGGGGCTCATGTTAGCAATCATGCTAGTGGTGTTGATCATTCCACAGGTAGAGCCAGGACAGAATCCGGGCAGCCAAACACCAAAGGCCACCTTGTGGTTAAGAGATCTGAGGCTGGGCATGGTGGCTCACGCCTGTAATCCTGGAACTTTGGGAGGCTAAGGCAGGAGGATCATTTGAGGTCAAGTGTTTGAGACCAGCCTGGACAACATGGTGAAAACCCATCTCTATTAAAATACAAAAAAATTTAGCCGGGCGTGGTGGTGCATGCCTGTAATCCCAGCTACTCAGGAGGCTGAGGCAGGAGAATCGCTTGAACCTGGGAGGGGCAGGTTGCAGTGAGAAGAGATGGTGCCACTGCATTCCAGCCTGGGCAACAGAGTGAGACTCCATCTCAAAAAAAAAAAAATAATAATAAGACATCTGTGCTTCAGCAGCCATTAGGCCCAGGTACCCATGTTCATGTGATGGAACCTCCTAGCAGAGGCTCTGCACACTGACGTAGGGTCTCTGTTTAGGGGTCCAAAAGTCTGAGGGCAGCTGTGGGTTCCACAGGAGGACCTTACCTCTGAGATGTAGTCTGCAAGGACCCAGGGGAACACGGGGTACTGCATGTAGTCATTGCAGGTTCTCCCAGCCACGGTGTTGAGGTACATGAGATACTCAAAATTGCTGATATCCCTTTTCTACCAGAAGAGACAGAAAGAGGATAAACCAAACATGTTTGATGCTCCCCCAAAACTAGGGATCTTACCCTTAGGCCTCAGCAGCAGGCCCTGGCTCTGTGGGTGAGGACAGGCCTCTGGCCCCTCGGTCACTTCCTGCACATCTCATGCATGAGCTGGCGCCAACTCAGGACCCACTCATGAATGGAGGCAAGTGTATTTGGGAAGCAAAGTCAGCCAGGAGAATAACCCAAAGCAGTTCAGCATCCAACATCAAGGACAAAAGATTCTTTTGTGTTAACTGTTGGATGCAATACTCAGAAGTTCACTAAAATCATAGCACATGTGCTGTGGGCAAACTGACTGCTGACCTATTAATGGTAAGAAAATAAGCAGAGGGGCCATGGCAGTCCCAGAGACAGAGGCCCTCACTCCCGGGCTCGATGGTCCGGCTTCCTCTGGGACTTTGAGAACTGCCCATTCCCTGTCCCTGCCTGTTGGGGTGATGTTCAGTCTTAGAGGCCCTCTGCCTCCAGAGGAACAGTCACAAATGGAGACAGGGCCTATATTGGGAATAAAATCCACCAAGGCCACCGAATGAGTGAGCAATCCAACATAGCTGTCATCTCTGACAGCCCCTATATGCTTAGGGGCCCTCCCTTCCTCAGCCTGCTCCTTGGGAGAGGATTTTGGACCTGGGTTACTGAGACTTGCTTTCTCGTTGTCCCCCAGTATCTACAACTGCCTCTCTTGGGGTCTATTCCTTTCTCTGAGAACCCTGGGCCGAATGTCAGCTTGTCCAGGCTGGGAGCCATGTGTGTCTTCCAGAAACAAGAAGTGACACCCATGCCCTGCCCCCCATGTGGCTGTATACATGTGTATCTTCACAAACAGGGTGTGTGTATCCACTCGGAGGCATCCGCAGTGTACAGGTATGCATGCACACGTGCACACACACACACACACACACACACAAACAAACATGCACATTCCCCAGCTCTGACTCCAAAGTGCAAGACTCATCCTCCATCACTGAGGTCTGGTCAGGGAAATGTCTGGGAAATTTTGGTAAATAAATAAGATCCTCGCCAGGTGCGGTGGCTCAGGCCTGTAATCCCAGCACTTTGAGTGCCTGAGACAGGTGGATCACCTGAGGTCAAGAGTTAGACACCAGCCTGGCCAACATGGTGAAACCCCGTCTCTACTAAAAATACAAACATCTGCTGGACCTGGTGGCGGGCATCTGTAATCCCAGCTACTGGGGAGGTTGAGACAGAAGAATCAATTAAACCCAGGAGGCAGAGGATGCGGTGAGCTGAGATTGCGCCATTGCACTCCAGCCTGGGTGACAAGAGCAAAACTCCATCTCAAAAAATAAATAAATGAATAAAAATAAGAAAAAGAATATCCCTTCTTGGTTGATCCACACACTTCTTCTCCACTGCCGGGGCCTGGGCCATTCTCTGGCTGGCCTTCCCAGAGAGCTTCCCTCTGGAGGAGCCACTGTACCTGCCACTTCTGCAGCATGGTCCTGTCAGAGCCGGGGTATCTCCTGTGGGACAGAAAACCATGGTGGTGACCAAATATACGAAGGCAAGAACAAGAAGAGGGGAGAGGTGGCTCTTGCCTGGGCTTCATGGGGCCAGGGTGTTCGGGAAAGCTGTGGACTTCCCAAATCCCACAGCAACTCTCAGCGGCAGCACAGGGAGACTGCCATCCAGTTCTTCCGGCCCCACCCTGACCTCTGACAGTTAGGTTCTTGTAGTCACTGTCCCTCCTCTGTGATGCCAGAACAAGCTGCTGCCTCAAGAAGTCCCAGGGGACGTGCAGCCTCAGGCTTGGGGGCCTCCCTCATAACCCACACAGCATTCCTCTGCCGCATCTTGGCCTTCTCTGCCCCTGCCCCAACGCCCTCTTTTGCCATGTGGATAAAATGCAAACAACATGGAAGGCTGTGAAATATGACATAAGAGTCTCCCAACTACTTCTCCTACTCAAGAAGTGTCCACAGTCACCAGTTCTAGTGTATGTTCCAGAAAAAATGTTGTACCCATATGCCTGCCTATATGCCTACATAGGTTTTTTTTTAACCTTCAATCACACATGGGATCACATGGTACGTCAGGGTCTCCACGCAGGCTCTCTTGTGCTGCCGCAGCCCTGGACACCAGCTCACACTGCACTTTCAAACCATCTCTGCAGCTGCCGGGCAGGGTCGCACAGCTGGGCCCTAACTGATTCATTGCCCCGGTGACAGGTTTTGTTCTCACAACTGACTTTTCCAGGGGCACCCTTTGGCACATGTCTCTGGGGTACTTTTGTGAGTGTATCCATGAGAGGTTTCTAGCTGTGGTGCTACTGGGTTAAAAAGTATGAGCATTTTCCATTTTTCTACTTATGGCCAAGTGTTTTCTTCAAAAGGCTGTACTAATGTATACGGCTAAAATTGAAGACTTACATGTCAAACGAATGAAGTCCCATTGTGAACTGTCCTGCTAGGAAAACGGGTAGCAAAATGCAATATTGGGAAGGGTGTGGGGAGGAGCCCTCCCTCTCCACCTGAAACGTCTCTTCTATTTAGCAGGGATTCCAGAGCCGAGCTCCAAGGTGCCACTTGGGTCCTTTTCCAGCTGTTTCTTCCCCATCCCCGTGAGACACTCCTCTATACCCAAGACCAGGTCTTTGCTCAAGATGCTCACTACACAAAGCCAAATCTTGTTTCCTCGCTCCATGCATCCCCTCTGCCACAGTCCTGTTCAGGCGCCCACAGAGCTGGTCCCCACATATGTTCTGCTCCACCTACATGGTCTGTTGTCAGGACCCTTCCGAGCTCAGTTTGGACAAGGCCTGGCTATCCGGGTGTCCTGTGGGGACAGTCCCTTTTCATCTTCCCGTCGTAGCCCTACCGTCACATCTTCTGTCCCGGGCTCTCTATCCCTCTGCATTCAATTCTTTACTTGGTAGATTTTCCATAAGCAGAAAACAGCCCTCAGGCTATTTACCTCTTCATCCCTAACAGAGAAGTCATTAATCTGGGCCATGTATCCAGGCAAGCAACACCCAACAATAAGCAGAGGCAAAACATACTCCGATGTACTGCTTTAGCTTGCAAAGGATCAAGTGAAGATTTGGTTCTCCTGTTGTGTCTGTGATTCTGCCACCCACCCAGTTCTGGAGGGCAGGCTGCTCTTAAGGCTATTGGCATGGGCAGAGCCCAGACTGGAGACAGTGAGGGTTGTGGCCTTGAAAAGGACCTGTGCTGAGCCCTCCAGAGCAATGAGCACATGGAGTTGGCATTGCCACAGCCTGCTGATCTTGCTACTCTGTTTTACAAGTTGATAGGGGAGTGAGGACAGAGAAGTGAAAACAGGGGTGCTAAATGTGCCTGTTAGGGTCCAGGAAATGAGATTCAGCCTCTGTTCCCCTCTCTTTCAGACATGGTTCTAGAATTTTGCTTGATATGGTCATTTGTGATGTTATAATCAGGTGGAATGGTGTACAGAAGAAAAAGGCATTTCACCATCCCACTCCTCATTTCATCAGCTATGAGCTCCAAGGAAGTTCCATCGTTTCTGGTACCATCGGAGAAAGACACCATTACCAGCATTGCTAGGACACCTAACCAAAGGTGAGTTCTATTTTTAAAATATTGTTTTAAAATTGTTTTGGTCTGAAGGTGATTGCAGACTCTCAAAATGGTCTGTGTGAATTTTGCTGGTAACTGGTGATTAGTTGAATGTATTGCAAGAGTTAATAAACGGCATCGTCCATCATCCATCATTATCATGTAAGTTTTAGATTAAACAAGATGTTGCAAATGGCTCTTGGCTTTCTAATGTGCTCCTGAAATCTGCAGGAGGCAGCCTGAGAAAGAGCTCTGTCTGTGAAGTCAGGGACACTTGGATCCAAATTCTACCTCCACCACTTCAATGGGGGCCCCTGGGCAAGACAGCAAGCCTCTCTGATGTGCCATCTCATCTTTGCAACAAACAGGAGCATGGGAGAGCAAGTGTGACCAGGGGTCTGGGAAAGGCTAGCATTGGTGTGGGCATGGAGCTACTCAACAGGCGTGGTCCTGGAGATGTTGACATGTTTCAGGAGCAGGGGAGACTCTTTTCCACTCTGGGAGGAAGAAGAGTGCAGTGGCAGAGTGGGTCCTGCTTCTGGTCAAGACCTGCTTAATGCTGCCAGTCCTCTTCTGGGTGACCTCAGAATTGTGCAACCTGGGAACCTGGGTACCTGCTCTGTCAGCCCAGTGGACACAATTCTGAGGAGTTCCTCAGGGTTTGCTGGGGGCCTGCACTGAGCTACAGGACAAGATTGGGGCCTGCGGGCAACTTGGGGTGGAGCAGAGAAGAACAGAGGAACTCAAACAAACCCAGAGAGGATTCTGACAGTTACCCAGCCTTGCCTCATTGTGGCCTTGCATGGGTGGACATGCAGGGGACATCATATCACCCTTTCACTCCCTTCCCTCCCAGGACAGGCATCCATCTCTGCCGGATGACTTCAAAGACAGAAAGATTATCTCTGCATTGTGACTTCGTGGCTAGTTCAAATTCTTTCATATTTTGAGGGGTAATTTACACCTATGCTGCTGCTTCCCCCGCTCCCCCCCCTTTTTTTTTTTTAGAGACAGAGTTTCGCTCTTGTTGCCTAGGTTGGAGTGCAATGGCACCATCTCGGCTCACCGCAACCTCCACCTCCCAGGTTCAACTGATTCTCCTACCTCGGTCTCCTGAATAGCTGGGATTACAGGCATGTCCCACCACACCCAGATAATTTTATATTTTTAATAAAGACAGGGTTTCTCCATGTTAGTCAGGCTGGTCTCAAACTCCTAACCTCAGGTAATCCACCCGCCTCGGCCTCCCAAAGTGCTGGGATTATAGGCATGAGCCACCATGCCCAGCCATGCTGCTTTGTTTTTAACTGCATTTCTGCCCTTTACCCCCTAGACAAGCTTCAGAAGCTGGAGCGCTACTGCCATGTGGCCCTAGGGCCTTTCCTGCTCCACACTGGCCTTGAGTTGCCTTATAGTCCTGCTTTGGCTCTTCTCCCTTGGGCCAGCTCCACCCAACCAGCACCACCACCCTACCTTAAAACCAGGCCCCCAGAGCAAGTGGAGTAGAGAAGGGAGCCAGATGCACGACCCAAGAGCTCATCCTCCCTGGGGGGCTGGCAGAGCGTCCTGTGGCTGGGCCTCCAGATACAGTGACTTAGCCCCTAGACCAAAGGTTCTCAACAAAGGACTCATCTGGCTAAAGGCTGCACCCTCTCAGCCCTGGCAGGAGTCTGGGGGCTCTGCCTGTCCTCTTCCTCACCTGGTACTAGGAGGTTGATGTAGCCCTAACATGGCAGACAACTACGGAGGGCCTGCAGGTTAACCTGGGCCCCTGAGCTAATGCAGACACATCTCAAAATCCTGCCGCCACTCCAAATTCTCCCATGTTGTATTGCCTATTTGCAAAAACAGTTTTGAGGACATGGTAAAATGGGTTAGTGAGTGACTGAGGGATTTGGTTCTTGAGTTAAGAAGCTCTGGGCATACACAAGTCACAATGAGAAGAAAATTCGCTCATCTGGGCAAGTTGGAAACACAGGCCTGCTGATGGATGTGGGCTATTCCTCAGGACAGGACAGTAGTTTTGCTGAGCTATTGCCAGGGGAGACTTCCTGGGTAGGGAATGCGTGAGCTGGGGAGATGCTAGGGGCAGAATGTGGGAGGGGCAGAGCTCTTCAGGGAGAAGCCAAACACACTCCCTCTCTCCCCGTTTATTTCTCCTAAGAAGCAAATCTGAGTCAACTTGGACTCTACTTTTCAGACTCATGCAATAGGCCGTTAGAAATCCATGCAGAGACAGACGGACCCTTTCAAACCAGAGATACCCCCCTGGACTAACAGCTCACTGACCCTCTCTGTTAAAACTTCCTATCTATCTTTATTTCCCTAATGTGGAAATTCTGCATACAGTTCTAGACCTAACAATAATAACACTTAATTGTTTAACCCATTACAAAGTACGAAGACTTTTTGCCTATTGCTTAATTTTCACAAAGGCCCAATGAAGTCGCCACAATGAAGTTGCCACGATTTCCATTTACAGGTGACGATCTGGAGGCATGGGGCAAGGAGGTGGTGTACAGGCCAGGGAGGTATGAAATGCACTGTTGGTGTCTACGCTAGGCCTGGCACAGAGCAACCACTGTAAACACTGACACAGTGACTGTTCAGAGCACCTGCCGGGATCAGACCTTGCTCCAGGTCCCTGACGCTGAAGAAAACAAATGCCAACAAACAACAATCTTCGCCCTAATGTATGAAAAGCCAGTTACCTGACAAACTCACCAGTGGCCTACATTTGTTGGCATGACATTAAAAAATGAGCATTAATAAATTGACCAGATTGTTATTGTGCAACCATGCCATAATACGAGGCTATAAATAGGTTAAAAATCTGAAAGTTGGCCAAGTGTGGTGGCTCAGACCTGTAATCCCAGCACTTTGGGAGGCCGAGACAGGCAGGTAACCTGAGGTCAGGAGTTTGAGACCAGCCTGGCCAACATAAAAAAAACCCTGTTTCTACTAAAAGTACAAAGTTAGCCAGGCATGGTGGTGGGCACCTGTAATCCCAGCTACTCAGGACGCTGAGGCAGGAGAACTGCTTGAACCTGGGAGGTGGAGGTTGCAGTGCAACAAAACTGAAACTATGTCTCAAAAAAAAATAATCTGAAAGTTTATAAAATACAAAGTTATTGCCAGTTGCCAAAATTATGAGTGCTTTTAATTTTCATAAGGTTTTATATATACTGACATATTAAAATGTATTTATCGTGTATATTTTTCTTTTTTAGATATTGATTTTATTCTTGCTTATGTGCTTTACGATTTTTATATTATTTAATTTCAAGTTTAAATTATGTATTTATAATATTTTAATTAGAAGTATACTGGGTAGTAGAATTTGTGGTAATTTTTAATTTTTTAGTCATCTTCAGTCACAAATTTATTTAAATCCATTTGCTGTCTAAATTAAATTATGTATTTTATTTTTTGGACTTATGGTAATGTTTATATATTCAAAAATGTTATAATTAACTTATTTAATAAGATTTATTTTGTTTTTACTTCTAAATTGAAGTAATTTCATTTTACATTTTTTGTACTTTTCAAAATTTTTACCACTTAAATTTAATTTTGGATTTGAAATTATTTATTTCACTTATTTTCTAATTAATGTATTTTCTAATGTATGACTAGGTGAAAAATTTAGAACATTTACATTTCTTATTTCTGGGCCAGCGCAGTGGCTCACGCCTGTAATCCCAGCACTTTGGGAGGCCGAGGTGGGTGGATCACGAGGTCAAGAGATCGAGACCATCCTGGTCAACATTATTAGTAGAAACTCCATCTCTACTAAAAATACAAAAAATGAGCTGGGCATGGTGGCGCGTGCCTGTAATCCCAGCCACTCAGGAGGCCGAGGCAGGAGAATTGCCTGTTCGCAGGAGGCGGAGGTTGCGGTGAGCCAAGAATCGTGCCATTGCACTCCAGCCTGGTTAACAAGAGCGAAACTCCGTCTCAAAAAAAAAAAAATTCTTATTTCTGTATTTACATCTTCTAATTTGTCTTCAATGCTTTATCATCTGCATAATAATTTTCATACTTATTTTGTTTTTCTCTTTTCTCAATTTCTGGAAATTTAATGTAAGGAAAAAACTGAAAAATAAAAGACCGTAGATGCACAAATACATTAATTGCAGCCTTATTCATGATAATGCCAGGCCGGAAACAGAAGGAAAAGCAAAGCACAAGACTCACTGCTGGGTGTTCATTCAAGACCGCAGGTTTCAGAACTGCACATTAGTGTTTAATGACATACGATCAAGTGAGAGAATATGATTACAGGGCTGTATGATTTTATCAGTATTGTAGCTACTCTGATTTAATAGTGGAGAAAAGGTGCAAAGAGAAAGAAAACGGTAAGCAATAATTAAATTCAAATAAACAGATGAAAGACCTCTCAAAGACAAAGAGCAGGAAAGAAATACTTGTGCAAACTGCAAATTAGAAGAAAGTGGACTGATATTTCGTGAATGCTATTAAAGTGAAATATGTGTCCCTTTCAAGAGAAACATGTGGCTTCTTCCCTGTGTGGCCACATTCCCCCCGCCGTTGCCATGGACAGGGACTCTGCCCCATCCTCTAATCCTCTCCCCCTGACTGCTGGGTGAACCCCAGGAAAAGCCCAGAGGAAGGAATCACAGTGGGTGAGGCCTGGGGTTCCCTCTGCCCTGGGGGCAGGCAAGCCAGGCTGTTAGGAAATTTGAGTTTCTTAGAGCCTTCTGTCCTCTCACTTTGCAGGCTGGCGTCAAGACTATGCTAATGACCTCCAGGTCTCATGTTTCTTGTTGCCTGGTGACAGAGTTTCACAGTTGAGGCGGAGAAGCTGGGACTAGCAGGTAAGTTTTGCGCCGGTAGTGGCCCACGTTTATCGATTTACTTTAACTCTGCCAAACAACTGCTTGGATCTCTACTTTTTCTCTTCCTCCCCTCCTTAGAGTAAGCAGCTTTGGAAATGCCTGTTCTCCGAGTGTGGTTTATTTACAAAGCCCAGACACCAGCTAATGAATTATTTAGGAGGGGAGGAAGCTTGCCTGAGCCCCAGACAGGAAGGGCAGCTAGCTGGGGAACAGTGGGTGTCCTCAGGGGTCAGGGCAGGGGGCGGGGCCTGGGAGGCGTGGGAGTAAGTGGGGCTTTGGGGATCACACAGGATCCTCACTCCAAAGTTTGGGTCTCCGTGAGTGTTTTTGCTGCTCTACAGGCAGTTGGAGATGTGTTTGAACCGCTTGCTTTCACCCGACCAGTCACACCTCTAAGGAAACTAAACTGTGAGGGCCTGTTCCTTCGGGAGGGTTCAGCCCAGCAGAGGAAACCTGATTACTGCTTACTGTAATGGGGCTTGGAGAGCTATCCTTTTTTTTAAGAAGTCTGGTGGTAAACTTTTTCTGCAAGTTATCCTGATCATTAGAACCCACTAATGAGTGGTTAAGACCTAGGCTGAGCTGGGCCTTGAAAAAGGAGATTCTTCATGGGACACTTGGGAACACACTACTTAAGCCCCAATTTTTATGACAGATACAGTGGGAAAAGCCAGGTTTCACTTAGAGTCTTTGTGACTCCTCATAAGTTTCTCAGCCTCTCTGAGCCTCAATTGCTGTATTTCTCCAGTGGAGACGAAAATGGACACGTCAGGTGGTTGTGATTTATTTATAATGTCTGTAAAATGCCTGGCCTGTAGTGAGTGGTCCACAGAATCCGTATAGAAACAGGAACCTCATTTTAATGTGCTAAAAACTGGGTAGTGTTGTTGCTTTGCAAAGGGTCTGGCACATAATAAATTCTCAATACATTTATCAACATCATGGATGCTACGTGAACCACGTATGGAATAACACTCCCAGACAATGAAATGGGGACTCAGAAGGGTTAAGAAACTTGTGCAAAGTCAGGTCTAGGAGGACAGGGTTGTGACAGGCCTGTAAGCTGGGCTGATCACATGCCTTCTGGGTTTGAGCCTCAGCCTCCAAGGGAGATGGGAGGCACTGAGACAGCTGCTTTCCACCCTTCAGGGCTCCGGAGTCCCATGGTTGTCTAGAGACCGGTTTGTTAGTGCCTGGTGCTTGGTGCCTCCGGCTTCCGCTTGGGCCTCCAATGGTCTCTCACTGTTGCCCAGTGTCAAGGGTGACTTCAGGCGCTTTCTCCCTTTCTATCAGCAGAGTGATGAGAGAGTGAAAGCTAGGTGATGTTTCCACGTCTCTGAAACCCTAGAACACAAGGTGTGCAACTGAAGCATGCACATTTCTACTCTGCTGCCAGCTCCCTCACCAACTCTCAGCCCATCACCAATGCAATTCACTGCCAACTTTTCAGTTTCTGAGCTCCCTACCAGTCTCATATAATGGAACTCACCTCAGCCCCTAGAGCTGGGTCTGATAACACAAGAGTTCTTCCTTTTCGGGGAGGGATGAACAATAAGGACGGGGCTTGACCTGGACTAGGAATAAAGTTTCCCATAGGATCTAGCTCAGCTCCCTCCAGCATCTGCAGAACATGATGAGCCAGGAGCTTACTGGGCAGCCAAGAGAGCCACGGTTACCACTGGACACTATAAAGCCAAGCATGCATGGAAAAGCCAGATGACAGCTAAGTCCACAGGAAAGGGCACCAAGCAGATGCTGGCTCCAGACGAGGCGTGTGCCTTTGACAAGACCCTGGGCATTTTGTCTGTGAAGTGGAGTGGTTGGATTAAATGAGATGACACACATGAGGCACTTAGATTTGGTCCTGGGCAAAAGGAAGGAAAAGATACAGGAAGTGCTAGGGCTCTCTAGCAGTTACAGACAGCTCTTGAGTTTTCTCTTTGCCTAGTCCACATATACAATGTAGAAGAATGTTCCACCAGCTCTGCTTCCACCACGGAGCCTGGATCTGCATGCTCCCTCCTCCACCATGGCCTTCAGCACAGACTTCCCTCCTCTCCTGCCTAAAGCTGGCCTGTCTCCATCACTCTCCTTCCCTCCCTCTGCTGCCTCCCTGAGGCCAGCGTTGTCCTTCTAGAGGGCCTTATGTTGTCCCCTACTAGTGAGCACACGGCCCACCTTGTGCTGCCCTTGCCCAGCTCTTAGCCCTCCCCTCCTCGCCCTCTGGCTTGTACCCTCTTCCTGTCAGTTCTTTCCCAAATCCTTCCATGTAGCCTCTTCTTAGCATTCTAGTTACAGCTCAGATGTCACCTTCTCAGAAAGAGCTCCCCACCCACCTCAGTCTGAACTAATAACATCCCCACCAATATGCTCTTTCTGACTTCGGCATTCTCTGTCTCATCATCAGCTATCGTTTGCAGAGCGTTGACACCAACTGCAATGCTCCTTGGGTTCTCTCTCTTTCTTTTTCTTGATTTGCTCTCTCTTGAAATGGTAGTTTCATGAGAAACACGAAGGTATAGCCTTGCTCACTGCATATCCACTGACCTGACGCATAGTACACTCCAGTAAGAATTGTTGGATAGATGAGTGAATGAGGAGACTGGACTGTAGCAAGCTCTAGAGATTAAACGTGAGTAAAGGCATAATTATATCTATACATAGCTATTATTATATTTCTTTTTCTGTAAGCACTAGTAATGTTATTGCTAATAATTTGTCAGTGCTTGAAATGTTGCAAAGACTTTGTGTTTGGTAATCAGCAAAGATTGCTCTCCAACTCTTCCCCCTGAAATTCCTGACTAGTGGGGAGTGGCCCAGAGCGGCTGGTTTGAGGGAGGTGATGGAGACTGTGGTGTCTGGTGACTCCCCCAGCTTTCCCCACCAGCATCTGCCACTGGTGGTAGAAGCCAGATGACTGTTTGTTGAGTGCCCACTGCACACTGGTCACCTAACATTTTTATCACCTTATTCACTCTTCAAACAACCAGCAATTGACCAATCCATTTTGCAGAGCAATGAACTGGGCTCAGGTGTCTTCCGAGGCTAAACCTAGGTTGGCAGTGAAGGGGAGTAGGGCTCACTTCCATTTGCCTCACAGGTCCCAGGCTCCCTGCAGCCCACCCACCTGCCTTTTCAGGCACAACAGGAAAGGGACAGCTGGCATGACTCACATACAGGTGACCATCCTATCTGGAAGCTGCCAGGGTGATGCCCTTTCCTGAACACAGCATTCTCAACTCTCCTGGCAATAGTTATGTCTGTTTACAAAGTCCTAAGGAAAGGTGTCTGTCTTGTTGGGAATGGTGTCGAGTGCTTCAGTCATGATTTCTCATAAACCTGATGTAGATTCAAGGAGGAAAAGGAAATCTGAATTTAGGAAAAGTTTCTACAGAAGAAATTTAGGATTAGACATTGCAGCATTTCCTGAAAGACAAGGGCCTTTCATGCGAGCAATGAGCCCAAACTCCCCTTTTCCTCCACTAACTGGAAGCATTCCTTCAAAAAGTAGGCCACAGTCTTCCCGCAGTCCTTCATGTCTAGATACAGGTTGCAGGGAGAAAGTTCAGCTGCTGCTTGACATATCCTCCCCACATTGCACCACGGTACCGCCACCCGCTCCTAGCAGGCCATGTGTTGTTTATAGCACGGCCCTCCATGGCTGGCTGAGGGTGGGCTGGCTCTGAGAGAGCATCTCTGGAGGGAGACAGGAACACTTGCCCCGGGCTGCCTGCTCCTCCCCCTTCTCAGTGCCCACCTCTTGCACACTGCTCTGTGACACCATGAAGAGCTCACAGATGACTCAGGATGCACTGGCTGCCTCAGACAACCAGACTCTCCACCTGTTGCCCAATCCTTGTGTCTGCAGGGATGGGGACAACCTCCATCTGCAACTGTCCCAGGCAGATCTGGATCCAATAAACCATCATCGTCACCACCTTGTCCCCTCCCGCATTCAGGTAACAGGAAAGGAAGTGGTATTGTGTGTGCGCATGCACATGTGTGTTTGGAGTGTGAGTGTACATGCATGTGTGTGCATGTGTGTTTGTAACTTTGTTTCCTGGTTAGAAATAGATTTTATATCTATTGCAGAGAATTTAAAAACTACGTAGACATATAAGAAGGAAAGTAAAGAGGGCACAGCACCGTCACCTCCAGAGAGCTGTGTTGCTGATGTTCTCGGCTTCTCTCCCCTTTTCTATGTGCGGAGGTGTGCGTGAGCCGGAGAACAGGGGGCTCATGCAGACAGATGTATTTTCACTAACATGACATCTTTAGCATATTGCCTTTTGACATTTTCGGAAAATAATGTTTTGTTTTGTTTTAGTTTCTGTTTATTATTTATGTCGTTCTATGATTACATTACACTGTAATTATTTAATCAATTGTCTATTGTTAGATTTTTGGGTTGTTTCTATTTTGATTTAATTTTTACTATTTTAAATGGCGCTTCCATAACCATGTTTATATCAAAAGTCTTGCTCTTATTTACTAAAGGAAGATTCTTAGAAGTGGCCTCCATGTGTTCTCTATAGCCTGGTCCCGCCTCTTCCCAGAGAACCAGCCGTCCCTTTGCTTCATCCTGTCCCTCTGCCTTGGCTCTCATCCTTCTCCCCTTGGCTCTCATCCTTCTCCCCTTGGCTAACCCAATTAAAGTGGCTTCAAATTCGATGCCACTGACCTGTCCCCAGCCCCCTAGTACACTTGTTCTTAGGGTCAAACAATGCATGGTGCCATCATCTGCTTCTATTTGGAAAGCATCCCTGTCTCCAAGAGGGTACACATTCAGTGACCAACAAATATTTTGTGTGCAAGTGACAACATGAGTTTTCTCAAAGGACCTCTCCCTTAAAACATATTCATGTTCTGGAAATCCTTTAACAGTACATGTAAAAACACTGGGGCAAGTTGATTACGCATCAGCTGACTATCAGCTATGAAATCTGGGACACAGTTGAGAGCTGAGACCCTTTCAGGGCCTGGGAGTCATGAGGGCATGGGAGTCAGAATTGACCTTCTTGAGTACCTAGAATGTATCTATTCAACTAGTATTGACTAAGGGCCTACTCTGTACTAGGAACTGAGATGGACAAGTGGACAAGACAGGCCATGTATCTTGGAGTAGGTGTGGGAGGAGAATGGGGGACAGATAGTAAATGCAAGTATAACAAGTAATGCATCATAAACTACATTTAGGTCCCAGGTGCTGTGGAGGAGAAGTGCAGCGAAATAAGTGGCATAAGTGTGTGGGGGAAGGTCTGTCTGCATTATTCATTGGGGGTGGATGGAAGAAGAGATGTCTAGTCTGATACCACAGTTTGGGCCCTGAGTGTCCACAAGAGGCCAAGGCTGTCAGCCCAGCTGGAAGAGGCTATGGTGGAGCAGCTGGCTGGGAGCTGGGCTTGGGACAGGCAGAGTGTGAGATGCTTGTCATCATCCAGGGAGAAAATGCTAAGTAGGCAGTAGGTGATGTGAGTCCGGAATTGGGGAGCAAGGTTCAGGCAAGAACCAAATGCTGGGGAGTTGTTAGTGTATAGATCATATTTAAAGCAATGAGATGAGGTGGGCTCACCAAGGCAGTGAGTGTAGACCAGCACGATGAGCGTAGTCAGAGAAGAGGAGCAGGGGCTTGGCCACGGCCCTCAGGGGGCACGTGGCAGAGGCAGCTTCTAACCCAACCAGTCAACTCTCTCCCATGCCTAGGCTATGTCCACTGCCCCCTGATGCCCCCACTCACTGGGCTGGAGTATAGGGTCCAGGACATGGACCCCATGTCCATGTCTGGAGCCCAGAGGCTATGAGACCAGCCCAGTGCAACTCCATGCCTGGTACCAGCCCCAGGGCTGGGTTTCTCCTTTTTATTTACTTCTCTTTTATGGTGCCTTCTCCCAGCCTCCCTTTCCTCCTTCCTTCTTTCTTCCTCTGTCCTCCACTCCTTCCTCTTGTTGTCCATCCCCTTCTCTCTGCAATGAGGCCTTTCCCCTGGATGTTTCCTCCATCTGAAATCCTCTCCCTGAATCCTCACTTCCTCTGATCTCTGCTCAGATATCTTCTTCTCAAAGAGGGCCCTCCTGGCCACCCTTTCCAAAAAAGCACTTCTTCCATTTCTCTTCTACTCTCTTTCTCTTTCTAACATCCATCACACCTGTCACTACACTTTATTTTTGCTCGATTCTTCTTCTAGAATGTGAGCAGGACCTTCATTTTGTTTGCTGCCTGGAACAGTGCCTCATTCATCATAGGTTTTCAACAAATATTGTTGATGAGTGGATGACCTCGAAAGGCCGTGGGAAGTTCAGCTGCATCCTTAGAGTTGACCCTCAGCATCCCCCTTCTCAGTCATTTCACCCCCACCCCGGTGGTAGGCGGTCAGCAAAGCTGCCACAGGGCTGTGAGCTGCCCTGCAGCAGATAGGGTGTCACAGTGGAATTTGGGTCGTGTCGCCAGTGGGCTCTCACTAGAACTAGAGGATGTGCTGTGCAGAAAGAACTCCATGGACGAGATGCCCCAGCATGGTATGAGAAGGCCTGTGCAGCTCAAAGGAACAACATGTCCTCTTGTCCCCCAGAATAAATTAACTGAAAGCCTGAACTCAGGGAGTGGGGGTTGCTGTCCATAAGGGTGCTGGGCTGCAGGGTCTAAATGGGGTTTCTACCCGGCTGGCACCTGGAGTCCCAGCTCCACAGTTGGTCAGCTGTGTGGTCCCATCCATGCTGCTGCCTCCTGGACCAACCTCCACAAACACACACACACACACACACACACACACACACACACCACAGCCAAAGCCTCCAAGGGCCATATGTTCCCCTCCCCTGACCTTGGGGAAATAGCCACTTTTACATCCTCTTTCCATGAGTGCAGGCTGAAGCTTGTGGTGTTCAGGAGACCATCCAGGGTCATGGGGAAGGTAAATAGGGGGCTGGGCACACCCACCACGACCAAAGCCCTGGCACATTCCCCCTGCCAAACCGCTTCTCTGAGGCCCAGTTTCCTCATCTGCGCGAGGAGAGGAGCTGGCAATAGCAACACTTAAAACACACTGGGTAGAATGGAATCACTGCTCACCTCATGGACTTTAAAGGGGCCAGGTCTGCCTTGGCTCTTTGACTTTTGCTTCTGTTGAGGTTGGTTTGAGTGTTTTGAACCCAGGGTGGAGAAACAAGGCATTTCTAGTCTGTTAAACTAATCATCTTAGTATTTTATTTTAATTGTAAGGCACCTATTCCCTTTTGTTTCTTTAACAAATCCAATTAAAGCAGAGTACATGCAGAATTACAAAATAGATGCTATTAAACGAATAAGAAATCATAATCTTTTGTTATTGGGCCATGTGACCTCCTGGGAACTTTTGCTCCAAATAAAAGTTAAATTCTTATTATCCGATAGGGGAAAGGGGGGAGTTTGACAGCTAATGGCTTTCCAGGCAGCACATGTGCAGAGCCGAGCCGGTGCTAAGGATAGAGAAGTAAATAATACTAGGAGCAGACAAAGCTATAAATGTGTAATGTCCCAGGAAGACACTTAGAGCTGGGTTGATCAAATTAACCAGATAACTGCCAAATGAAGTGAACCTGAGAATTTTTATACAGACACTCTGTTTGCTGCTTTACAGACACGGGGGTGGAAGTTTTGATGTACTGGGAAGAACATTTCCTACAGCAGTGCTGGAATAAGGCAGCTGTGTGAGCCGGGACAAACTCCTCATACACACTCCCTTCCCCCACACCACCCAGAATGGGAGGAATATTCCTACCACAATGGAGAGTGGTGTGGATGACTGGAATGACAAAGAAGAAGTCACTTTATGAAGATATGGGCATGATGGACCTCTTAGTGTGGGTCTGAGGATGTGTGTGGGGTGGGGAAAGGAGTGCAGGGGAGGCATCATTTGACCAGCACATGGAGATGGCCGCTGTTTGGCAACAGCAGAAGTAGCTTCCAAGAGGTTAGACTTTCATGTGAGCTCACATGGTAAAAATCAAACTTCTGGTGGTCTGCATACTGAGACAGGGGTGCTACAGCAGCCCGCAGCCCTCCAGGGCAAAAGAAGTCACTGCCTCTCTGGCGAGTATGGGGGAATGCAGTTGGCCAATGTTCCTGGGCGATGCTGCATGAAAAGCCTGTCTTTGCACTCTTGACTCACACTCCATGTGGCAAGGCGTTCACACTGCTTTAATCCTGCAGGGACTGGAGGAGCCGAGGAACAACCGGTTCCTGCCTCCATTGCCACACACTTGGGGACACATGCCCATGAAGTGAACTCACTCATAGCACTATGTGTGCCCCATAAACTGTTTCTCTTTCTCTCTTTCATTGTCAATTGCCAAGCTCTTACAGTTTAATGACTCCATTAATGCTATTAAAATATCATTAACATTCATACTATATGTACATATTTCTATATGCACCCACTATATACGATACATCTATGAAAATGAGCATCCTACATACTGGCCCCTGGGCAGTAGAGTGAGCAGGCAATGGGTCACACTGAAGTGATTTCTTCAGGGACCTTATTTGCCCGTGGTTAGTTCTTCCATAAGGTCAGTGGGATATCTGCGTTACTGAACCTCTGCAGGGACTTTGGCTAAGGCTGGCTCTCTGCCTCCTCACTCTGTTGAGTTGGCTAGCTGCTTCAGCCAGAGTGCACACCATTCTTCATTTAGCAGGGGGGGTGACATTGCAGTTCTCAGGCCAACACATGCCAAATTAGAATGGACTTGAGCAAATGTCTCATCACCCAGAGTTCTGGGGACTCTTGACATTCCTTGGTTCCAATGTCAGAGATTCCAGCAAAACAGGAACAGCCTTCTTGAGGCATGAAGCCAAGGAGAGCCAGTGGCCTTCCTTAATTTCCTGTGTCTAAGTGGGCGTGGCTTTCAGCCTGAGAGTCATAGATTTCCAGAATGGCTTCCGCTCCTTGGAGGCAGTGGGGGTGAGCAAAGTATCCCCAGAATGAGGCATTTGCCACTGCTGGAGCACAGGCAATGGAGAGAGGAGAAGATTATACACCAGCTTGGGTATCAGACATATTAAGGTTTCACTTTGGCTGTACTCTTTGCTCTCTGTGTGACCTTGGGGAAGTCACTTAACTTCTCTGAGTCTCAACTCTCTTATTGCAAAAATAACGTTGATATTTTGCATGGTTGTTCTGGAGATTAGATATACATGAAGGGCCCAGCAGCATGTTTGAGGCAATTTTTTTGGTACCATGAATGAATGATGGAAAGGGGCTCTTGACATTGGCAGTATTTCCAAAATTGATGTGAGAACCCCCCTAAACCGTGGAGTCCCTGTAAGATTCCAACCCCTGCTTCTGCATCTCTCTCCTGCCATCATCTTCCCATCAGCTCTGCCCAGAGTGTGGTGGAGCTATTTCTGTGAGCTGCACCATCCTCTCTGCACCTCTAATCTCTCCTTTTCTGGCAATCTGTCCTTCTGCCCACAGGGAAGCAGGGCTCACATTGGGGCAGTTAGTGGAAAAAAACTAAAGCACTTTATGTTTATACCCCCAAGGAATCTATATTCCTAAATCTAGGTAACACTGCAGAGCGAGTAGCACAGCACACAGTTTCTGGTCCAGAATGATCACTGGACAAGTGGTAATTCTCCAACCTATGTCCGAATCAAAAGTTAGTGCTGATTTCGGAGGCCTGCTCAGAGGTTCCCAACACACCCATTATACGCACAGGACCCACCATGACAGCACAGGTCTCCACCTCCCATGGACTCCATCTGTGAAGATACAGCCCCACCTCTCTTTAGAAGGAGCTTGCCCATTCTAGAAGGGGCAGAAGACACAGGGAATGACCTGAAGCCACTCGGGAGGTCACAGCTAGGTGAGCTGGGCTGTTACATGCACAGTAAATATGAGGGTTGGGAGAGAGAACAAACGTGCTTACTTTTGAATGAGTGAGTTGTTGAGGGAAGTTTGCATCATTTCCTCTTAATAGATGAACCACAAGCAAAGGATATTTCTCATCCACATGACATGAAACCTCCTGTAAAGCTAGTCCCAAATACTGGCTGTGAAACGGCAGTGACTTTGGGGATCTCAATGGATCAGTTGAAAGATTGAAATTATTATTGTGAGATTGTGTTAGCAAGCTAATTAGAGATGTTAGAGATACAGAAACAAAGCAGTCTTGCCTAAAAATGTCATCAAAATACATGTGTATGAAGCAACAGACAAATTCCTGTATCATAATAACAACTGAAAATGCTTGCAAATATTTGGACGGCATTAATATATTGGTTGCCATTACTTTTTAAATTTAGATATCCATGGGGTGTCCTACCATGCTGTTTGATTCACAATGACTAGAGAGAAAAAATTAATTAGAAATTAAAGTAAAACCAACTGGTCCACTTTTTCCAAAGTATAAAAGCCAATTGTACAAGAACAAAAACACCCAGTATATTTAGAAACCTCTTAAATTTGAGCTTCTAAGCTGTTCATGTGAAATGAAATCTATTATCCATCTAGCAACACATAAATGCATTCATTCATCTGTCTATTCACCCTTCTATCTGCTTATCTACTTACATCTTTCTCACTATAACTATTAGCTTTCCTTGTGTGGGTTGATCCTACTCTGACATTTCAAAAATTCTATGAATTGATAACAGGATATCTAGCCAGTTTCAAAAAGATGAACAAAAGATCATCTGTTTCTCCCTTTTTTTTTGCCAGTTTTTACCCTGGGCAGGAAGTGGCTACATAGAGTTGGATAACACAAGGCATGTCCCTGGTCTCTGGGGGCTCTGAGATCGGGCTTCTGGCACTGGGTCTGCTTCTAGTAGTACTGGGCAGCTTAGGGGGTCAGGATGGACCCTGAGCCATGCAACATACTCTGCCTTCTATAACCGAGAGCAAGGGTCCCTGCCAGGGCCCCAGGGAGAAGCACAGAGAGGATGGAAGCTCACAGTGCCCCATCTGGCCCTAGGGCTGCCTCAGGACCTAGGCTCGCTGGAGAGGTGAAGTACATTATCCCAGCCAGCCCTCACTTTACCTTGAGGTGAATAATGGGCAGGCTCAGAGCCAAAGGGCCCTTTGGAGAGAGGCTCCTTAATGGAGGAGTTCTCTATATCCAGCTCTGCGCTGCTTCCTCATCACCATTTATCAGAGCTAAGAGGGCTTCTTCTCACAGTGTGGGTGGGCTGTGGGCAGTAGGAGCAGCTGGGCCCAACTGGCTGGATCTCCTGTCTGCTGGAAGGACCCCTTCCTGTCCAGGATTCTCTCTAACCCATGCTCAGTGTGTTTAGCCTCCCTGAGCTGAATTTTTTCTTAGAGAGTAGAAGAAAACCAAAAGGCAGCCCAGGTTTTGGGTGTTGAGGGGAATCTGGTGACCAAAATCAGTGAGGGTCTAGATTTGAACTATTTCAACTTGAGGGCCAGGTCTGTTTACTGTTTATCTATATTGCTCAGAGGTTTGATATATGGTAGGCACTCAATATGCACATACAGTGAGTGAACAAATGAATGAATCCTTGAGTAAGCACATGGACACAGCTTAAATCAGTCCCAAACGACTAATAACAACCACAGACAAATGGAAATTTATTAATTGTTTAGGCCCATGGGATAGGGTTGGAAATACAATACAGGACTATGCGGTATTTGGGACATGTATACACTAAAAACTATTTGTTGTTTATCTGAAGCTCAAATTTTACTGGGGATCCTGCAATTTTATTTGTTTTTTTTTTTTTTTTTTTTTTTTTTGAGACGGAATTTCGCTCTTGTTACCCAGGCTGGAGTGCAATGGCACGACCTCGGCTCACTGCAACCTCCGCCTCCTGGGTTCAGGCAATTCTCCTGCCTCAGCCTCCTGAGTAACTGGGATTCCAGGCACGCACCACGATGCCTAGCTAATTTTTTGTATTTTTAATAGAGACGGGGTTTCATCATGCTGACCAGGATGGTCTCGATCTCTTGACCTCGTGATCCACCCGCCTCAGCCTCCCAAAGTGCTGGGACTACAGGCTTGAGCCACCGCGCCTGGCCGATCCTGCAATTTTATTTATTAAATCTAGAAAACCTACCATGGGGAGAAGCCACTGATAAACATCTCAGGTGAGTGCATAGGCTTCCCTGATCTCAGTTCATCTCTTTTTAATGAAGATTTCAACTCAAGCACAGTAGACCGTTTTTCTGACATGCCAGCTTGTAAACAGCTCTTCTCTGTGGTACACAACATCCCCCTGGCAACACACAAGGGAGACATACACATTGGACCACAGCAGTGCCCAGATGCTACCTATTTGGATGTCTTTCCAGGGGTAGAACTGGGTTGTGTGGGGGCACAACGTAACAAAGTCACAGACTTCCAACATGAGCCAGCAGGCATAGTGAGAGGAACAGAAGTAGAATATGGAGCCCCAACTATTTTGTAAAGTTTTTTAAAACATGATATCTTAATGTGTCTGCAGTAAAATTGCCTCTTTGTGCACAGTTCTCTAAGCTTTAACAGATACACGGATTCATGTAACCACCACCACTGTGAGGGTGCAGGGGGTGACATCACCCAGAAAACTAACGTGCCTCTCCCTTCTAGTCAAGCCTTTTCCCCACCCCTAATCCCTACAACCACAGATCTGTCCTGCACCTAAAGTTATGGCTTTTTTAGAAGGTCACATAAACAAAATCATTCCATTCATGTAGACTTCTGAGATTTTTTTTTTAATTAGGCAAAATGCGTTAGGGTTTATCCAAATTGTTGCATGTATCAATAGACTTTGTGCTTAGTAGTATTCCATTACTACAGTCCTCACTTATCCACAGGTGATATGTTCGAAGACTCCCACTGAATGCCTGAAACCACTATAGTATACTATGTTTTTCCTATAGGAACATGTGCTTATGATAAAGTTTAATTTATGAGTTAGGCATGGTAAGAGATGCACAACAATAATTAATCATAAAATAGAACAATTTCAACAATATGCTACTCACAACTTCACAGATAGAAGATTCATTCTTGCTGTAGATGTTAGCCACCTCAACATACAATTTAGTTTCTTTCCCAAGTCAAGAACTTTTACCTTTTCACTTAAAGGAAGCAAGTTAAGGCTTCTCTCCCTTTGGCATACCTGAATTGGCAGCATCACCAGTCACTACTAGGACAGCTACTAAGCGACTAACGGGCAACTCGTGTTTACAGACTGGATCCACTGGACAAAGGGATGATTCAAGGTCTGGGTGGGATGCAGCAGGGTGGCCTGAGATTTCCTCATACTAGTCAGAACAGCAGGCAATTCAAAATGTATACATTTCTTATTTCTGGAGTTTTCCATTTAACATTTCCAATCTGCAGAACTAAACACGTGGAAATGGAAACAGCGGACAAGGGGGACAGTATTAGAAATCAACCCACTGAAGGACGTTTATTATTTTTCTGTTTGAGACAATTATGAATAGAGCAGCTATAAACACACGTGAACAGGTTTTAGCGTGAACACATACGTTTTACTTTTCTAGGGTAAATACTCAGCTGGGGAAATGCCAGATCATATAATAGCTCTATGGTTAATTTTATAAGAAATTTCCAGAGTGTTTTCCAAGGGACTGTACCATTTTGCTTTCCCATCAGCAAGGAATGAGAACTCTAGTTGCAGTACCTCCTTACCAAAACTTTGTACTGTGGATTTTTGTATTTGTACATTTCTATGGTGAGATTTATCTTTAAATATTCTGGACATTAAAAAAATTGTATTGTTTGCTTTCTTAGTGCTGAGCTGAAAAGCTCTTTATAGATTTTGGATACCAGCTATCTATGTATAAGTGATTTGCACTGTTTTCTTCTAGTCTGTAGCTTGCCACTTCATATTCAACTTTTTTTTTTCCACAGAGTTCTTTTTTTTTTGAGACAGAGTCTCACTCCGTCACCAGGCGCCAGGCTGGAGTGCAGTGGTGTGACCTCGGCTCACTGCAACCTCCGCCTCCTGGGTTCAAGCAATTCTCCTGCCTCAGCCTCCCGAGTAGCTGGGACTACAGGCGCGTGCCACCACGCCCAGCTAATTTTTTTGTATTTTTAGTAGAGACGGGGTTTCACCATGTTGGCCAGGATGGTCTCAATCTCTTGACCTCGTGATCTGCCCGCCTCAGCCTCCCAAAGTGCTGGGATTATAGCTGTGAGCCACCGCACCCGGCCTTCACAGGGTTCTTAATTTTGTTCAACTTATTAATGCTATCTTTTGTAAACTGTGCTTTTGACTAACTCAAAGTCATGATTTTCTCCTCCATTTTCTTTTCAAAGTTTTATGGTTTTACATTTTACATTCAAATCTATGATCCATTGTGAGTTAATGTGAGTTAATTAGGCCAAGGTTCAATTTTTTGCATATAAATAACCAATTTCAACACCATTTGTTGAAAAGGTCATTGCTTCTCTATTGAACTTTGTTTGACTTTTTGTCAAAAATCAATTGACCATTTAGCCATGTTTGTGTAGATCTACTTCCGGCCTTTACTTTCTGTTCCATTGACCTATGTACTGGTCCCATCACCAATACCACATGCTGTAACTATATGGTAAATTTTAAAATTGGGAAGCATAATCCTCCAACTCTATTATTCTTTTTCAAAATTATTTTTCATTTCTAGTTTTTTTCCTTTGATATAAATTTTAAAATCTATTAATTCATATGTGTAAATAATCCTCCTGTAATTTTGATTAGACCAATTTGGGAAGAGTTGACATTAAGTCATCCAATTCATGAACAGGGTATGTTTCTCCATTTCTTTAGATCTTCTTTGCTTTCTTATATCAGTATTTTAAGGTTTTTAATATAAAAATGCTGTATGTTTTTGTTACTTATGTGAAATATAGAAGTATTTTATTTTTTGGAGCATTTTTATTTTTTAAAATTCAGTTTCCAATTGTTAATAGCTAATATATGGAAATGCAATGGGGGTTTTGTGTGCTAACCTTATAACCTATGACCTTGCTAAACTCACTTATTAGTTCCGAGAGTGCTTTTTAAATTCTGTGGGATTCTTTATGTGGACAATCATGTTATCTGTGCATAGGCACAGTTTTATATCATCCTTTTCTGTCTGTATGCCTTTTATTTTTTGCATTATTACACTGGTTAGAATTTCCAAAGTATTATTGAACAGACATAGAGGGTGTTCTCTTGCCTTATTTCCAAACTTCAAAGGAGAAGCTTCAGTCCTTCACCAAGTATGATATTAACTCTAGCTTTATTTTGTGGATGGTTCTTTAGCCAGATGAGGAAGAGCCTCTCTATTACCAGTTTGCTGAGAGTTTTTAATGACTAATGGATGTTAAATTTGTCAGATGTTTCTTCTGCATAAATTTATAAGATTTTTTTTTCTTTTTAGTCTGTTAATATAGTACATTAACTGATTTCCAAGCATTGGGTAAGCTTGAGTTGTCAATTATATTCTTTTTATATGTTTCTGGATTCAATTTGCTAATATTATGTTGAAGATTTTTATAACTACGTTCATGAAGGTTATTGGTCTGAAGATCTCTTTCTTATATTGTCTTTGTGTGATTTTAGCATCAGGGTAATGCTGAGATCAGAAAATAAGTTGAGAATTGCTCTCTAGTCTATTTTTCTGAAAAAGATCATGTCAAATTGCTAGTATGTCTTTGCAATTGTCTGAATGTTTGTGTCCCCTGAAAATCTCTGTGTTGAAACTCTAACCTCCAATGTGATGGTATTAGAAAGTGAGGCATTTGAGAGGAAATTAGATCATGAGGGTGGAGACTTCATAAATGAAATTTGTGCCCTTACCAAAAGGGGCCCCAGACAACTGTTTTGCTCTCTTTCTACCATGTGATGTCATAGCAAGAAAACACCTATAAACCAGGTAGCATGCTCTTAACACGTGCCAGATCTGCCAATGACTTGATTTGGACTTCCCAGAATCTGGAACACAGAGAAATAAATTTATGTTGTTTATAAGCCACCTAGTCTGTGGTACTTTGTTACTGTAGCCTGAGTGCACCAAGACAGTCTTCTTTAAATGTTTGATGGAATTTAGCAATTCCATCAACATTCTATTCTATTAATAACATGGGGCTTTGGGTTTTCTTTTATGAAAGGTTTTTAATCATGAATTCAATTTCTTCAACAAACAGAGGTCTATTTGGGTTTTCATTCCTTCACAAATATTTAGTAGTTCTTAGTTGATCTTACCTAAGTTCCTCTTTTTCAGAGTTGTTTGTATTGTTCTCTTTTTGGGTTTTAGTAAATCCTCCCTTTGACTCCTTATATTTGTAATTTGCCTTCTCTTTCTTTTTTTTTAAATTGTGAATCTGGCTATTTGTTTCATTAATCTTTTCAAAGAACCAGCTTGTACTTTTTTGTACAATTTGAACTCCTGTAAATTTATTAAGGTTTGTTTCATGACCTAAAATATAGTCTGTGTTCGTGAATATTCCATATGTACTTGAAAAAGAGTTTGTATTCTGTGGTTGCTGGGGAGAGTGCTTTGTAAATGTCAGATTCCGTTGGTTGATGGTAATAGTGAGTTATTCTATACTAGTAATTCTCATCTCCAGGCAATTTTGCTCCCCAGTGGACATTTGGCAATGTCAAGAGACATTACTGATTGTTATAACTAGTGGGCAGCTATTGGCAACCAGTGGGTAGAATGTTCTGGCCTTACTCTGCTAAACATTCTATGATGCACAAGACAGGTCTTCCCACAAGCCCCGTCACCACCCCATCCCTGCTGACAACAAAGAATTATCTGGTCTAAAATGTCAATAAAGCCAAGGCTGAGAAACCCTTTTCCTTGCTGATTTTCTCTCTACCGGTTCTACTGACTGCTGAGAGACAAGTCTTGATGTCTCCAATTCTAATGGTAAATTTATCAATTTTTCCTTTAAATTTTATATTTTTGCTTCATTTAAGCTGAAGCTCTGCTGTTTGGTACATGTATATTTAGGATTTTTTTTTTGTCTTATTGGTTAAATGCTCATTTTATTAATAAGTAATGATCTTCTTACTTCAGCTAAATTTTCTCATTCTGAAATATACTTTGCCTAATAATAATAAAGTCACTACATCCTTCTTTTAGTGTTTGCAGGGTATGTCTTTTTACATTCTTTTAGTTCAACTCACTTTTATTTATTTAAGGTAGATTTTCTTTATAGATAACATAAAATTGATCTTTTTCTTTTGCAATCCATTCTGATAATTGTGTCTTTTTTACAAGATTATGGTGTATGTTGGTCACTTTCATTTAATGTAAATATTGCTATGTTTTGAATTTCAGTCTATCATTTTAATAGTTGTTTTCTGATTGCCCCCTCTGTTCCCTTTTCCTGCTTTTGTATTATTTTGCTTTTGTATTATTTTTCTTTCCTTCTTTTGTATTTATTTGAATTTTTAAAATCTGTTTTATTTCCATTTATATATTTAGCTTTTTACTATTTACCGTATCTTTTTATGTATTTCCTTAGTAATTGCTCTGAGGATTAAGGTATGCATACTTAACTTTACAGCCTTCTTAGAATGAATCTTTCACCACTTCAAAAGCTGTGTGAAACTCTTGCCACCATGTAGGCCTGGCCACCTTCCCCATTATGCAGTAGTTGTCATATGTATGACATCTACATACCTCGACTCCATCACACAGTGTTATTTTTCTTTCAATTGCACACATATTTTAAAGGTATTTAGAAGAGAAAAATATTCATTTACTCAGATATTTAGCATTGCCATTGCATTTCCTTTATCCCCCAAATTCTAAGTTTCTTTCTAGCACAGTTTCCCTTTCATCTGAAGAACTTCCTTGGGCATTTCTTTCACAGCAACTCAGTGGCAAAAGCTTTTATTTTTCACCCATCTGAGAATTTCTTTATTTTGCCTTCATTTATAAAGGATACTGTCACAGTCTGGGTTGAACACCTTCTGAGAAATTCATCCTTAGGCGATTTCATCATTGTGTGAACATCAAAGAGTGTGCTTACACAAACCTAGACGGTATAGCCTACTATAGACCTAGGTAAACTAGATGGTTTAGCCCATTTCTCCTAGGCTACAAACCTGTACAGCATGTTACTGTACTAAATACTATAGGCATTTGTAACACAAGAGTAAGTATTTGTGCATCTAAACATGGAAGAGGTAAAGTAAAACTATAGTATCATAATCTTACAGGACAACTGTCGTATATTCAATCTGTTATTGACCACAACATCATTATGTGGCACATGACTGCACACACACACAGGTATTTTTAAAGCAGGACTTTTTACTTTTAAAAAGCACCTAGGTCTGTAGTAGGCTATACCATTTAGGTTGGTGTAAGTACACTCTTTGATGTTCACACACTAAGAAATCACATCTGCCTTTAAAGAGAGGCAGCTCAGGGTGAGTGCAGGGTTGCTACACAACTTTCAGAATCACCTTTCCTGAGTTCCTTTCCATTGCAATCTCTCTGACACTCTGTGGCTCCCAGGGGCATCTCTTCTCTCCTGACTTGTTCTTCTGGCTGGATTTTGTTTTCTAAATCTGATGCACACTTCTTGCAACTGTTTCTGCCTCTAGGGCCAAGTGGCAGTAGGGTAGAGAAAACAAAGCAAGCCTCAGCTCTGAGGACCACAGTTTGATCAAAGAAAATGGTCCTCTTATTCCAGTTTCTAGGTGCCTGTCTGGATGACTCCAGGGACACAGGGTGGCCTGGGATGAGACAGGAGAGAAGCAAGCAACAAACAAACAAACAAAAAAACAGAGCACAAAACAGATTTTCTCCACTGTCTCTGAACCTTAAAACTCCCTTTCCTGTTCCTTGGACCAGAAAAAGAGGCTCCTGTTAGAAACAGAAATCTTTCTGTCCTCATCTGGTCCAAAGTTTCGTGTTCTGGGCTGCCCTTGAGTCCAGGCCAAGAGAAATGGTTAAGGGGAGAAAAGGGAGTACAGGAAACTTGTGGCCAGATTGGTCCTTACTTTGAGTTATGGATTTCTTCTCCATTCTCCATTTATCTCAGAGTCCCCAGAGTGCCTCCCCGTGCATTCTGCCCAAGGCCTTACTTGCTTTCAGGAGTTTGGTGGGACCAAGTGAGCATACCCAATCTTAACTGGACTTGGACTCCACTTTGCTTTTTAAGCTGCTTTATCCCATCTGGTTTCTCACAGCTGAGTGATATAGACAGTTCCATATTGGTGAATATAGTGCCGGCTCTGGAAACCAGCCAATTATGCCTGAAAGTGGGGGTCCACCATTTTTAAAGAACAGGGTCAGCTGACAAGGCCTGTATAAATGAACGTCATTGCTTGCCGAGAGCTAAGAATTCTGTCACTGGTTTACTGTGGAGACCACCATCTACCCCAGAGGGCTGTGATCCAGCAGGCCTTGCACAGGGTGGGACCCTGTGACTCTTCAGCTACGAGTGGTGATAGTGGGATATACACTTATCACGAGTGTGAGACAGGCTTGTACACATTTCTCTTTGACACTGAGGATTCCTGGGTGAGGAAAACATGTGACAATATGCTTGCAGAGCCTGATTGCTCAATATTCACATGCTATATGAACTTGGGTCACAATAAAAGGTATAGGTGATAAGTATGGAAACTGTAGAGCACCTCTCCCTGCACATCCCTGCAGAGAACAGAGGCAATGCAACTTTGTGTCTCCCAAGGGCATACATCTGCCTGGTTTGGAAATCTCAGTCCAAAAAAAAAAAAAAAAATTGCAAGCAGGAGGCACTGAGTTGTGGAAAAGAAAACAAGGTTTCAGAACCTAACAGAACAGGGTTGCATCCTCTTCCTGGCTGCAGACCTTCCTCACTTCTGAGCCTTGGTCTCTCTACGATAAGGGGAATGCTGTGGATCTTGTTGTTGAGGATTAGAAACAATATGTAGAGCAATTTTTAATAACTAACATTAATCAAGCTATCACTATGCACTAGGCACTGTTATAAGTGCTTTATAGTATTAGATAATTTATACCCCCTCAGAGCTCTATAAGAGCATCTGTTTTCACAAATGAGGAAACTCAAGCACTGGGAATTTAAGAAGATTGTGAGTAGCAGAGCTGGACTCCTAAGCCAGGCATGCAGAAGCCAGAATACCCATCACATCACATCAACATTCTGCTTCCCTGCACTGAGGCAGTCATGGCGATTTATCAAGTGTCTGTGTAGAGGAGTTGAAGTCCAGTGAGAAGGATGTGAGAGGAGGGGGGACGGAGTAGGAGATGGAAAACACAGCATTCTCCGTGAGCTTTGCCAGTACCCACCATCCCCCTGTGTGCTCATGAGGAAACTGAAGCACTGGGAATTTAAGAAGATTGTGAGTAGCAGAGCTGGCACACCCTGTTACCCCTGGGCTGAGCAACAGGCTTTTCTGCATGGCTCCTGTTGCACTGTAGCCTGGGCCTGACTAGTTCCTCTGAGCCCATGAAGAAAAGAGGGATGTGAGAAGTTGGTCTTAGTACCCACCCTATTCTGTAAGATCCAGGCTTCTGTTGGCTTTGAAAACTCAGCAGCCCTCCCCAGAAACTTGTATGATAACTTAAGAAAAGCCTAGCTTTATGTGGGGGTCTAGAAAGGGGCAGATATCCAAGAACACATACACACACGGCCCTGGGTGGGAGCATATGTGACAGTCCAGGATGGTGGAGGGGATTTATAGTCAGGGAATGGCACGTCACAGCTAGGGGGACATTTAGTGTCCTTTAGGCCAACCCTGCACCTCCTATTTAAACAACCAAACAACCAAGAAGTTAAAATCTGAAGAAAGCACATAGTTTGCTGACGATCTATGGCTAGGCTGGGTCCACTTCACCCTGACTTCTCTCCGCCATCCTCTTTCTTGCTTTTTAAACCATTAGAGAGCGAAGCGTCATGATGTGGGAGAGCCCAGTGCCCTCTGGAGTCTTCTAACCAGATGTTTTCTTATCTTTCAGCAGTTTCTCATGATTTTTCCTCACACTGATCACTATCCAATCAGAACAACGAACTTCTATCACCCACTTACTAAAACAACATGGCTAAGGGTGGGAAAGGCCCCAAGGGCAAGAAGATTACCCTCAAGGTGGCCAAGAATTGCATCAAAATCACTTTTGATGGGAGAAAGCGCCTTGACTTGAGCAAGATGGGAATTACCACCTTCCCCAAGTGCATCCTGCGCCTCAATGACGTGGACGAGCTGGACCTTAGCCGGAATCTGATCAGGAAGATCCCTGACTCCATTTCCAAGTTCCAGAATCTTCGGTGGCTGGACCTGCACAGCAACTACATCGACAGGCTGCCTGAGTCCATCGGCCAGATGACCAGCCTGCTGTACCTCAATGTCAGCAACAACCGGCTGACCAGCAACGGGCTGCCTGTGGAGCTGAACCGACTCAAGAACATCCGCACTGTGAACCTAGGCTTGAACCACCTGGACAGCGTGCCCACCACGCTGGGGGCCCTGAAGGAGCTCCACGAGGTAGGGCTCCATGACAATCTGCTGAACACCATCCCCATGAGCATCTCCAAGCTCCCCAAGCTGAAAAAGCTCAACACAAAGCGGAACCTCTTTCCAAAGCCAGACGAGAAGGAAATGTTCATAGACTCCATCAGGAGGCTGGAGAACTTGTATCTGGTGGAGGAGAAGGATCTGTGTGCGGCATGCCTGAGAAAATGCCAAACTGCCCGAGACAAGCTGAATAGAATCAAGACCATGGCCACGACAACGCCGAGAAAGGCCATCTTTTCCAACCTGATCTTACCCAATTCCATGGCCAAGGAGTCCCAGGAAGACTGGAGGTGACTGGGACCCTGACCCTAAGGCAGGAGGGGAAAAGAGATGGAGGGAAGGGGGCAATGGGCTGCATCCACAGGAAACCAAGGCTCCCCTGTGACTGCAACAGCTCTTCCAGCCAAGCCCATAAAGCTCCTTTCCCTACTTCCTTGGTGTGTGATTGTGTTGATTGAAGGGCTTTCAGTTCCTTGCCATTCCACACATTTCTCTCTCCTCTGCATGCACACTCACAACTACAGGCACAGTGAGTCAGGAAGGGGCTATCCATGTTCGTCCTACTCTTGTCCCCAGAGTTCTATGGCCTACTGCTGTCTGGGCAGCTAATGCTGTCACATAGTGACTGTTGCTGGCATTTCAGAGCCAACCACTAGCTCCCAAATGTGGAGCTATTTACTGGAAATGGTTGGGTCTGAGCTTCAAAGGCAAGAAATCTCAGAGCATGAGTTTATAAGAGAATAGATGACTATGGGGTAAGGAAAAAGATGGGCCACAGAAATGGGCAGGTTTTATCATGAAGGCATCAATACGCAGAAAGCCTCTTGGCCCAAAGCAATGGTTTCTCTCTGAACTGAGCTTGTATAACTTCCTCTAGGAGCTTTCCTGACTAAACCTGCAGACCTCTGACTCGCTGTGAATTAATGAAGTTTCACTCCCATCCTACTACATTCATTGTTTTTCTAGACCCTCATGGGAGGAAGGAAAGAATGGGGGCAGATATGGGTTGGGTCATTCAATAAATCAACACCTTACTCGGCACCATGCTAGGTGTGGGGACCATGTCCAGTCGGGGAAAGTTTGGCTTGCCTGGTGCAAGCTGGAGGTGAGAGCTGCTGAAAGGAGATGGGCAGAGCACCATTGTCTGAGGAATTTGGGAGATCGGGGTCAAGAATGTGCAGGGCTGGCCTGGCAGAGAGCAAAGTCCAAGATTCTGAGGTTGGACAGATCTAGGTCCACGGCAGCTCTGCTTCTGACCTGGCATCCCCTTGGACACCTAACATAGCTTTGGTCCCCTCATCCATGAAGTGGGAATAATGCCATACCTAACTAACTCCAAGGGTTCTGTGCCTCTAAAACAGGCAGCACATGGAGGACGTACTCAGCAGAAGCCAGCTCTCTTCTAGAATTATAACCTGGTTCATTTAAAAGCCGAAATACTGCTTTGAAATAGTACTACACACTAGATATTTTGATAGAAAATGACAGCAGTCAAGTCAATCCTCACAATAGCTGGTAACCTTCTCTGACCTCACTGTGTACCACATGCTCATACCTTCACGTGCGTAAAAGAAAAGAATCAAGAATGATACCTTGAGGGAGGCTTTGTTTTCCCACGAGACTTTCCTATGTTGGTGGAAAGTCTGCTGAGTGGATGGCGAGCAGCACTGAGAGGCATCCATCAGTGAAGTGGGATCAAATTCCTTCCTCCTCACCTTGGCAGCCACAGCAGACGGCACACCTCACTTCTGCACTCCTTGCTGCCTACTTCCCCTTGTGATGTTTAGCTAGGACAACCCTATCAGAGCTCTAAAACCTTGGGAGATCTGGGTTCAACATTTTCACTTTAGTTTTTCCCTTTATTAAATTGTTTTTCACTGTAGAAGTATCGGAACCCCAACATACTATTAAATATAGTAGTTGAAAGCAACCATCATTCTATAGGGTAAGCTAACTGCAATGTTGGCAGAGTTCCTTATTTTTCTGTAAATATTTTGATACATAGTCAAAATTATAGCATTTCTGTAATTTCTGTCCTGCTTTGTTACCTGGTGGTAATAACCACACTTTAAAACTTCTGCAATATAGTATTCTTGTGGATACATATAACTATAAGTTACTGTTGAGCCTTTAAGTTATTTTCAGTTTTTCACTAATGGGAATGGTCTTGTGATGAGAGCCTGTATAACTAAAACATTTAAAATTACTTTGAATTATTTCCTTGGCATAGCTTCATTATTGTAAATATTGTGTTAAAGGGTGAGTTTTAACAATAATGTTTATATATGCCATCAAGTAACTCATAAAAGGTTTACCCATATTTATATGCCTACCAGTAACGTAGCAGAGAACCCATTTCACAGCATCCTTGCCACCACTGAGCACTGTCTTTCACATTTTTATTTTCTCTTAATGTCTGAAATGACTCATGAGCAGCCCTTCTGAAGCTGAGGGGAACAACCGTGTCTGAGACATGCATGATGAGTCGTCACGCTGTAGGTACAGGAGCCACCACTAGCCGGCCGGGCCCTGGGCATGTCCACAGGAGAGCCAGTGTGCTATTGCAGTCACTTCACCTCTGATCCAAAAGGGATGGAGTCCAAGCAGAGACGTATGATCAAGACAGAGAGTGCTGGAGAGCTACATGAAGACTTCCCAACACTGTTTCTTTAGAATTAATTTTCCCTCCTTAGGTATTCAAAAGGATCAGCAAAGGAGAGAAGTTAAGAGAAACATCAAGATTACAGATCCCACATGGCGCCCAGGGTTTGCCAGTCCATGCCCTCCCTCCCCCTGACGCAGCACACTCCTTGCTGTGCTGGGTCCTCGACACCCTTACTTACTGCCAACTCCTTGGCTGGCCCGACACTCCAGCCTTGCTCTGGGGTTTTGTCATACTTTCCCTCTTATCATACATCTCAGGAAGGCATTTCAAGTGCATTTAACTTCACGAGGATTCAGACATACACAGGCAGTGGGCTGGATTTGCCTCAGAATGCGTTCGAGTCAGACACCTCTTTAGCCAGGGAATGCTGGCAGCGGGATGAAGCAGATGGGAGACAGAGGCCAGTTAGGAGGCACCTTCTGCACTCTATTTCTTTTACTGCCAAGGAAAAGGTTTGTTGTTGGTACTCCTTCATGCTCTAAAATATCTCAGTCACCTTTACTTCTTGGAAATTGTATTAAGCACAAAGATCTTTCATAGGAAATCCTTGGGGGTTCTCTTTCCTCAAATGGAACAAAATCCCTATTCATACTACCTTAACCATCCTGAAAGCCAGGCATGACCTTGGTGAGCTGGTGTGACCTCTGCCCTTTCTGTGTGTGCCCTTGTGGCCTGGAGCAATTACCTCAGCTTCTTGTGTCTTTATCCCCAGGATACACTCAACATCTGCCTAGAGTAGCTATGGCAAAAACTTGAAGACTACTCGTAACAGAATAAATAACTCTGAAGAGGAGAAGCCCCCAGTTAGCAGAAGACAGAGTGGCAAGTGGAATCTTCTGGAGAGCGGGCTCGCCGGAGCGGGCTAAGCCAATGACTTGCTTCTCAAATTTACTTCACCTCCCTTAGCTTGAGCTCACCTGTGTGTAAAAATGACTTTAGGAAATATTTGATGTGGTTTTTAAAATGAATATAGAGAAAAAAATTAAGAAAAATATAGATTACATATTTTAGACAATTAATTATTTAAGGCTTTAAGACTTTCATTCATATTTGTATCATCCTTCTCCCACAGTGCGAATCTGGGTTACAAACATCACTGAATTTACTGACTTGCCGAATCCTACAATAGATACAATGCAGGACTGGAATTGCTATGACAACACCACCAACAACCAATGGAGTTCAAAATTCCTTTGCCATCCTTCTCCTTTAGAATATATCCCACTCAGGGTGTTATAATCCAAAAACTGTTCAAAATCACTTCAATCATTTTTTCTCTCTGTGTAATTATATCACCTAGTGTGCAACAGTTAAGTGTGTCTGTTTGTACTTACTTTTGTGTTCCTTCCATTCTTGCTTTTTACTAAGTTTTTTCAATATATGAAACATTAACATCCTTCGAAAGTGGGAAAGAAAAAGACTTTAAGACTTAAAAGCTTACTGCCGCTACATTTCACTCAGCCTGGTACATCTCGATGCCAGTAGTTTGTGATAAGTTACATAGGTATAATGAGATACTGATATGGTTTCGGTGTTTGTCCCCCCCAAATCTCATGTTGAGATTTGAGCCCAAAGGTTGGGAGGTGTTTGAGTCATGGGGGTGGATCCCTTATGAATGGCCTGGTGCCATCCTCTTGATAATGAGTGAGTTCTTGCTGTATTAGATCCTGTTGAAAACTGATTGTTAAATAGAGCTTGGAACCTTTCTCTTCTGTCTCTCTTTCTTCCTCTCACCATGTGATGCCTTTTCCCCTTCATCTTCCACCATGAGTGGAAGCACCTATACCCAAAAGCCCTCACCAGAAGGCAATGCTGGCGCCATGCTTTCTGTACAGCCTGCACGAACCATGATCCAAATAAACTTCTTCAGTCATAAATTACTTAGCTTGAGTATTCCTTTGTAGCAATGCAAATTGATTAAGACAGATACCTCAGGCAACTCCAATTTACACAAAAAGTTATATAGAAAAATATGCTAAAAATACAACAGATAAAGCAGAATTTTAACAAATATTTCAGTGGTATATAGGTAGGCAGGAAAAAGAAAACAGAGAAATGAACAGGAAAAAACAGAAAACAAAATGGCGAACTTGTATTCTAATATTTTGATTATTACAATAAATGTAAATGATCTGCTTTATTTGTAATGACCACAAAATGGAAACAACCAAATATTGCTCAATGCATAAATTGTTAAACAAACTCTGGTATATTCCTATCATGGAATACTACTCAGCAATAAAAAGGAAAGTACCAACAGTCATTGGTACATACAACGACTTCAATGTATCTCAATGGTGCTATTAGTAAAGAAAAAATGCCCATCTCCAAAAGTCACTTACTGTATGATTCCATATACAGAACAGTCTCTAAATGATAAAATAATAGACATGAAAAACAGATTCATGATTCCCAGGATTTAAGGATGGTGGGGGAAGACAGGGGTAGGCATGACAGTAGAGTGGTAGCACAGAGGTATCTTTGTGGTGATAAAATAACTGTGTGTGCCGATAGTGATGGTAGTTACTCAAATCTACACATGTGATAAAATGACAAAGAACTATGCATATACATGTACCAGTGTCAATGTCCTGGTTCTGAAATTGTACTATGGTTATATAAAGTGTAACCATGGTGAAGGGGACATTAAGTGAAAGGTGTATGGAGCTTCTCTACTATTTTTGCAACTGTTAATCAATATTTTGAAATAAAAATTAAAAAAAAATCTTACAGCCTAAATGCAACAACAATCAATAGATCCTTAT